TCTGCATTATGAAACACTTCATATTTATAAGATACTAGACCGAAATGGAGGAGTACCTGATGCCGCCTTAGCAGCTGCCACGGAAGATGAAGGGGTCAGGTTCATACACACCTCCGCTTCGCCCCCACCCATCTCCAGCCCATGTCCACCTCTTGTCCTTGTCCTTTCTCTGCCTGAATCAGGCTCGGCCTCACCCCCTAAGCCCTCCCCATGGCCGGCCGCCTCTCTAACCTAAACCGCCACCCTCTCTCACCCAGATGACTACAACTGCCTACTCCAGGCAGGTCTCCTGGCTTTGCGCCTCACCCTTTCCAATCCATATCCACAGCGCGTGGATGGCAGGGTTCACGGAGAGCCAGGAGCAGCCAGAGAAAGCCTCTGTCAGATCCTATAAGGGCTCACACCTCTTCGTTTCAGGACCTTCAAGTGTGCTCTTCTCACCCCCTGGGAAAGCTTCTCTTCCCTATCTTCTGCTTGCACTGGTCTCCTTGCTTAAATAACACTTCCCCCACCTTCCCAGTCGAAATCTGGTCCTTCCATTGGCTCCCATGACACCCTTACTTCTCTCCCACGGCACTGTTTCCAGTAATGCATTTATTCATGCAACTATTCATTTGCGCTCCGTTCTGTCTGTCCCGCTGGATTGACACCGCCTCTGAAGGCAAGAACGGGGGCTGTCTGCTTTCCTGCCTTTCTCTCCAGCTCCTAGCTCAATGCCTGGCTTAGAGCAGGTGCTCAAAAATGCTTCTTGACTAAGGGACTAAATCTTAATTGTTCCCACTACAACAACAACAAAAAATGATAATGATGTGACTTGTAGAAGTGTTAGCTGAGGCTGCAGCAGTAATCATATGACAACACATAAATGTACCATATCGACACATTGTACACCTCATTAACCTTATACACATCAAATGTATCTCAATAAAAATAAATTTTTAAAAATACATTAACCTATGGGGCGCCTAGGTGGCTCAGATGGTTAAGCATCTGCCTTCGGCTCAGGTCATGATCCCAGGGTCCTGGGATTGAGCCCCATATCGGGCTCCTTGCTCAGCAGGAAGCCTGCTTCTCCCTCTCCCTGTGCCTCTCCCCCTCCTCATGCTCTCTCTCTCTCTCTATGTCTCAAATGAATAATTTTTTTAAAAACTTTAAAAATACATTAACCTACAATGAAATAAACTCAATTAAAAGCTAAGGTAATAAATACCCCAAACTCCTCCCCCCAAAAAAATTCTTGTTGAATAAATGAATGGCCAGGCCTTTGCAGGCAGCCTTTGGGGAAGGCAAAGCTGCCTCTGGAAACAAAACTTCCACCTGTCGGGGTCAAGACACCTGGGTCGTGGTCCTGACTCTGCCACTCACTTGTTTTGCGGCCGTGGACAAGTCACTTCTCTCTGGGCTTCAGTGTACTCATTGTGAAATGCAGGTGTGAGATGCATCGGGCCCCTAGGTGGGCTTGAAGAGGCATATGACGTGTGTGTGTGTACACATGCCCATGCACATTTCCCTAGCAAGAACATACATAGCTTTCATCAGATTCTTAAAGAGATCTATGACCTCAAAAGGTTCAGAACCACTAACCAAGATCCTTTTCGGCTCTGGGGGTCTATGATCATATATAACTAGAGAGAAAGAGGAAGTAATCCAACCCATAGTAGAAGGAGTTAAAGAACTTCCATCAGGGGTGTAGGACCCCACAATAGGAACACAAGGGAGGCTGCAGGACCTGGCCTCCTGGGGAACTCCCAAACTCAACGGGGCTCTAGGTGAGTGAGCAGAAGCCACACCAACTGACCCAGGGGGCTGGTTTTTCAAGAGAGGGGGCAGAAGCAATCCAGAGTCTCCTCCTCTCTGCTCCTGCCACCATCGGACAAGCACCCACTTGTCTTGGGATACGGCAGAAAGCAAGGAGGTGGGGCTGGCACTGGAGATGCCCCCCAGGGCCCTTGGCACCCAGGTCAGAGAAGGCTTGGCGGGAATGCTCAGGAGGGCTGCCAAACCCCACCTTTCCTTCTCCCGAGGTTGGCAGGCTGACATGTGGAACCAAAGGAGAGCTTAGGACATAGGGTGATCATGGGACCCTGAGGAGGCCACCTGAGGGGTGAAGGGCCTATACCTCCAGGCCCCAAAAATCCAGAGCTGGGGTTCTGAGGCCTGGGAAGCAGAGTGGACAGGTGTCCCCAGAGCAAAGCGGAGGAGCAGGCCACAAGTCCCGGACGGAGGAGGAGAGCAGTGTGGGCAGCAGAGGCTGGGAGGACAGAGCGGGCCACCAGAGGGAAGGCAGTGTGGTCTGAGCAGAAGACAGCCTGCTTCGGGACCGGGCTGGGGGCAGCACGCAGGGGGAAGAGGGAAAGTGGCCTGGGTGGGAGGGGGCTGCCCCGAGGGGAGGAGGTGATATGAGCCTGCGGCCCAAGGAGAGACGCTCAGCGTACCTACTGGAGGAGGACGGGGGAACACGGTCCGTGATGGTGGCATGCCAGTGGCAGGTCTGTCAGTGGGAGGGCCCTGGCTAGGAGCCCAGATGCCGGAGTAACTTCTAAGCCCTGACTCCTGAGGGGAGCTGAGCACCCAAGAGATGTTTATCCGCCACAAGAACGCGGTAAACGCCTCCTCCAGTGAAGTGATAGGCCGACCGGCTGTTTTTTCCTGGGTCAGGGGTCTCCTGAGAGTTGCAGGATAAATGGGGGCAGGGGGGGCCTGGCAAGGGGAGAGAGCAGCCAGCGACAGCATCCCCCCTGGAACCAGGGCCAGGGGAGCCGTGGGCACGGGCTGGGGCTGGGATGGAGTTTCATCCTGCAGATGAAGGAGGGGGTGAGTCATGGGCGAGCACCAGGCACTCTCAAGAGGCTGCTCAGAAACCAGCTCATCCAAATGCAGACAGACACTTGTCCCCATCCCTGTCCCTGTGGCTGTCACACACCCACGCACTCACTCCTCCCCCACCCTTCTCCTTGATCACCCACCTCCACTGCCCCTGGCTTCTTCCTCCATCTCAGCCCCGACTGCCTGTCCCTGTCCCTGTCCCTGCCCACCCTCAGGTGGCCCGCCTGGCCCCCAGCCCCTAGCTGTCTGCATCACGAGTGCAGAAGGTAGGGAGACAGAGAAAGTGAAGTCAAGAAGGGTCTGAGATAGGAACAGATGACGGAGGGACACTGTGAACTCACTTCCACCTGAAACCTCCAAGGACAGAGGAGGGTTCCTGAGGCTCTGAGGCGGAGAAGCCCTGATGACCTCTGGAAGGGCCTGACCGTTGGAGGTTGGGCCAGGTCACTTTCACTCTCCAGACCCTCTGCCCCTCTGCCAGGACTAAGAAGCCATGGTGCACTAAGTAGCTCAGGCTCCCATCAGAATCCCACCTGGGCCACCACGACAAGGTCTAAGACAACTAACTACTACGCCTCACCAAGCCTGTCCCTCCCTGTGATCAGTCATCACAATGATGACCAGGGCTAGAGCTCAGGAAGGACAGAGAGTTCAGCTGGTAAATGTAGCCTTATGCCTGGCACTGTGGAGTTAACCACGAATACGCTCTCATCCTGCTTGGAGGGGCATCTGGTCAAGTGAGGCACCAGCACACACATGCGCGCGCGCGCACACACACACACACACACACACACTCCTGGCTTCCCAGGCTGCCCCAGTGTGGGGAAGAAGGGCTGGGATACAGCCACATGGTACATTTTGAGTTGCCCAAACCCTATGTGCTCCAGGTGGAGGGATGTAAGACATCAGCATTTTCCAAACCCCGCACAGCAAACAAACCTGAGGAGGCTGGAAACTTCCCAGCCCCCAGACAGGGCGCAGGTTGGGATAAAGCAGGTAGCCTAGAGCAAGGTTATCTAGTCCTACCTAGTGACCCCAAATGTCTCCCTGTCCTCCACTTCCTCCTTGGAGAAATCTAGTGCCCACACCTAGTGGTGCCCCGACAGACGCCTCATGCTGAACAAACACCTGCCTCCCGGCACAGGCCTATCCCCAACCCTCTGGGTCAGCTGCGCACTTGCAAGGTGCCAAGACTTACTGGAAACGGAGAATGCAGGGGGGAGGGTCCAGCTGCCCAGATCATCTTCAGGTCAGCCCTTGCTCTGCTAGGGCCTTCCCGGTTCAGACGGCGCCCTCCCTCCTGCCTACAGAGGTGGGCGACCACCGCCACCGCTACCCTGGGACACACAGTCAACTCTGGACCAGCTCAGGGGATATAAATTCTTTCAGTGCCTTTCCCAGCGCTCCCAGCCCTGCCCAACTTGGGTGGCTCCTACACCTCACCTGAACCATTTGCCTTTTTAACCGTCAGGTCCTACATCCGCCTCCTCCCAAGGACACAAGAGACCCAGGAGAGACCTCGGCCCAGCTCGCGGCCCCTTCACCCGGGGCCGGCCCCACCCGCGCCCCCCGCCCCCAACCGGGGCCTCCGACCCCGACTACCGGCTGACAGGCACTGCCCCGGCCTGGCTCCCAGGTGAGCCGGGCTCGGCCCGCCACCGCCACCCGCTCCTCCCCCCCGCCCCCGGCCGCCCCGCGGCGCCCTACCTGAAGCCGCAGCCTCCCGCTCTCGGCGCGGGCGGAGGCCCCGGGCTCCCAGCGCTCGGCCCGCGCCGGGGCCGGGGGGCTCCCCGGGGGCTGGGGGCCGCAGGGGGGCCCGGGCTCCAGCGCCTCGCAGCACACCAGGCTCACGGTGCAGCCCATCCGGCCGGGCGCCCGGAGGGCCGGGGCCGGGGGCGGGGACGCGGGCGCGGGCGCGGGGCGGGTAGCGGGAGCGGGGGGGGAGTCGGCCCGCCCTGGCCAGCGCGCGGCCCGGGGGCGCCTTGCACGTCGGGGGGAGGGGGGGGTGACGCCCCCGGCACGCCCCCGCCCGGAGCGTCCTGGCCCCGCGCCGCCAGCCAGCCGGGGAGTGCGGGCCGGGCGAGGGGCGGCGACGCGGGCGCCCGAGCGCAGCCGGGGGCGGAGAGAGTCCGGGGGGCGCGGGGAGGGGCGGCGGCGGGGGTGTGGGGCCCGGGCGGCGACCGGCCGAGTCTGGGAGGGCGAGAAAAAGCCCGACGGCTGGGCAGATAGGAGAGAGAGAGCGAGGGAGAGACCGCGGACGCGAGAACGCGGGGACCCGGGGGACCGAGAGGGGGACGGAGCCTCTGCGCGGGGACACCAAGTCCCAGAGAGGGAGAGACGGGCAGGAAGTGGCGGCGGGAGGGCAGAGCAGGGCTCGGCCACCGCGTGTGCCACTGTTTACAGGCGGTTGCTGAGGTCTGGGGAACCGTCGTCTGCGCGGGTGCCTGCTCCTCTGTTCTCTGCCCCCAGTACCCGCCGTCGGGCACCCCAGCCTAGAAAAACGAGGACCGGGAGGTGGAAAGACCAGGCGGAGCACAGGCAGAGTGGGAGGGCCGCGGCCTCGCGGGGCCACCCAGCCGGCCCGGTCCTGGATCCAAGCGTTCACGGTGGTTTCACTTCCATTCTTTTAGCGGGGGGTGCCGGGTTGGGCAGGATGACAGTGGGGACCAGGAGGAGGAGGGAGATACAGGGGGAGGGGGGCTGTGCTCCCTCTCCCCACGTGCACCAGGCTTCCACCAAGAGACAGAAGCCAGGCAGTCTGGAGAAGCAGCAGTCACAGCCTCTCTGTGCCACCTGGTGGGGACGAGGGAGAAAGACAAGAGCTAGTGACCCCGCTGAGAAGGGGAAGGAAACTTGGAGAGGGGCAATTGCTGCCATCACTGGGGTGAGTTGGTGTTTGGCCAACAAGTGGCTCTACCCCCGGTTCTGCCCGAAGGGTACCATCCCCCAGCTCGCCCATTCTGCCCTGGCACCCTGGACCCTGCCTCTCCCACTTCTCCCCCCACCCACCCAGTTCTGTGCTCCTCCTGCTCTGAGCAGGGTTTCCCCCTCCAGGGTGCTGGGCTGGGCCTGAGTCACTTCCCAGGCAGCACCCTTGGGAAGGCTGCGCAGGACCCACAGTGACAAGTGACAGGCTCAGGCTGCAGTGCCCGGCTCTCCAGGCCTTCCCAGGTGAGTAGCAGGGAGGGGGTCTGGGGGAGGCTGGAGAAAGGGGGCAATGCCAGGAGCGGGGGGCAGAGGCTCCTGGACAGAAAAGAGGGAGCTCGGGAGGTACATCTAGGTATTCATGGATTTTATAGAGCATCTGGACCGGAAGGGGATACAGAGACCTTCAGTCCGCCCCTTGGTCTACAGATGGGGAAACTGAGGCCCAGAAAAAGCAAAAGGTCACACAATGAGTTAGTAGCAGGGCCAGGATGGAGACCCAGGTCTCTTAAGTCCCAGCTCAGTGTCTCCTGAACACCATCCCCACACACCCTCCCTCATTTACCTTCTTTTCTCTCTCCCTCCCCCTCCACGGTGTCCCCTGCTTCTTCACTCCCACCCACCCCAGAAATTCCAGCAACTCCACCCTGGGAGGCAGGGCATGTGGGTTTCCCATGCCTGGTCTTTACTCCAGGTTACATCAGGATAAGCCACCGGCCCCCAGCAGACACAGTATTCCTCTCTGCAGGCTGCAGTTCCCCGAGAGAGAACCACAGGATTAAAACCAGGTGCCCTGCTCCCCATACACACCCAGCATTCTGGCCCGGTCCCAACTCTAGGGCCTCATTTTACTTCTGCCTCCCTTTCCTCAAAGAACACACATTTTCCACTCAGCTGGGGGCCAGGAAAGGATGAATGTGCGCCTCAAGGATGATGACTGCTCTGGCAAGGCTCCCTGTGGGGGAGAGGGGTGACTTTCCCTCAGCCCAGCGTTCTAATGGCGGGAGCATTAACATGGCGGCTCATGTCAGGTTGCCCTGTGTGAGGGCACACTGACCTGAGTTCGAACTCTAGCTTCTCCACTTAGAGCTTTGTGGCATTAGATAAAAGACTTATCTGTCTGTCTGAGCCCCCCTTTCGCCTTGTATCAAATGGAGTTAATGACCTCCTAGATTATTATGGGGACTGAATAAGACAAGGATGTCAGGCGCGGAGCATAGCGCCTAGCACCAAGGAACCACTCTGTTAGTGGGGGCCACACTCTCACCTTCCCACGCTGGCCTACGAGGAAGAGCTAGGGTGTTTATCCTACCTGTGAACTCACTGTGTGACTCCAAATAGATCACATTCCTGCCCTGGGCTCTGATTCTTCCTTCGGATAAGGAGCCATCCAGGAAGGGGCTCCTTCCTGGGTTGACCTTCCAGAGCCACGAGGAATCACATCATTTTGAAATACTCATGGCAGAGGAGGGGGTCATCCTCACCAGGAACTTGAAAGGTGAGTGAGTCCCAAGGGGTTTTCTGGGATCGAGTTGGGGGAGAAGTGAGAGGCCTTGGGACCCCCTGTGTCAGAGCCCTCACGACCTGATGCCTGATGTCCACCATCCTCCCCCCACCCAGCTGCTGTCTCGGCCATCCTCCACGGCTATGGGGGCCGGCAGCAGCCGGTGACAGATGCCAGTGCTGAGCTACACAGACTCTGTGGCTGCCTGGAGCTGCTCCTGCAGGTGACCCCCTCCCTGCCCTCCTCCCACCCACCCCACACCCCACACCCAGAGCGCCAGAAGGGTTTTCCCAGATACTGAGGAAGAGCGACCGCCTCAGCCCCCTCAGGGTCAGCAAGCCCTTCCTGACATCCGACCTCACTCTAGGGGATTGACACCACAGCCTAGGAAGTGAGGTGGGGCCTGGTGGGGAGGGGTGGGGCGGGGGCGCCACCCTGCTCTGAGGACTGAAGTTTCAGAGGCAAGATGTCCCAGGGCTGAGCCTTCCTGCTGCTGGCCCTTTTGTTGAGCACTTACCATGGGCCAGGCTAAGCCCTTCTTATGCCCCACCTCATTAAATTCTCATTCTAACCCCCCTGAGGTGCTCGATGACCCTACCACCCCCACATACACACACAGAGCCTTCCCAGGTCTCTGTGTGTGATGCACATGTGTGGTGGGAGTGTACGTGTGTGCATGTGTGAGGTTTGTTGGGTGCACATGTGAATCTCCTGCCAGTCTAGCCTTCATCTGCTGCACTCCAGTCACACTGGCCTCCTTGAGCTTCCTAAAGCACACCAGGAATGCACCTACCTCAGGGCCTTTGCACTTGCTATTCCCTCTGCTTGGACTGCTCTTCCCTCAGAAATTTGGAGGGCACAATTTCTCATTTCCTTCAGATCTGGACTTGAGTAGTGAGGCTCTCTCTAGCCACTCTAATCCAAATATTTTGAAGATTACTTATTTATTTATTTGAGAGAGAAGAGCACAAGCGGGGGAGCACAAGCAGGGGAGTAGTGGCAGAGGGAGAGGGGACAGCTGAGCAGGGAGCCCAACTTGGGGCTCGATCCCCAGACCCCGGGATCATGACCTGAGTGGAAGACAGATGCTTAACTGACTGAGCCACCCAGGCGCCCCTCAAGTCCAAATTTTTAACACACACCCACACACCCTAAATCACACACACGCAGGCATACACACCACACACTGACACACATCACATACATACGTGTGTGCACACACCACGTACTTTCTGTTCTCTTTCCCTGCTTTATTTTTCTCCTTAGCAGTCAGCACTAACATACTATATGTTTTACTTACTCAGTTTGTTCATTGTCTGTCTCCACTACCAAGTGTAAGCCCATGCGGTCAGTTTGTTCATTGCTGAACTCCCAGGGCGCAGAACAAAGCCTGGAGGAAGTAAGTGTTCAACAGGTGTTAGTGGAATGCATGAATAGAATACCAAAGGCTCAGAGAGGTCCAGCACCTTGCTCATGGTCACACAGCCAGTAAGGGCGGAGCCAGGTCTGTCTACAGTAGCTCTTTCCTCTCTCAGCGTGCTGGAATGCAAGGTGGCTGCTGGGGGAAAACATTTCTATGCTTTCCTGTCCCTCATCCCGCTCCCAGTTTGACCAGAAAGAGCAGAAGAGCTTCCTGAGGCCTCGGAAGGATTACTGGGACTTCCTTGGCGCCACCCTGTGGCGGCAGCGGGCTAGCACGGAGCTGGCACGCTTCGTCCACGCACAGGACAAGGTATCCAGGGCCAGGGGGCAGGGTGGCTGGTCTCAGCACGAGGGGGCCCTGCCACCAGGCCCTTGACGGCAGAGGTCTCCAGGGGCCCCTTTCCCACCCATCCTGCTCCGCTGACCACAGACTGCCCTGGTCCTCCTGTCTCGTTAGCCCTGCCCTCAGCATCCCTCCGGCCACCCCTTTGCTCCCATGACAATACAAGTTCCCATCTTGTCTCCCTGTGCTGGCTGAGTTCCCTCCGATAGCACCCGGCCGCCCCCGGCCGCCCCCCCACCACCGTTCTCCCACTGTGCCCTCTGCAGTTGAGGACTCCTCTGGCAAAAGGCCGCGCCTTCATCCGCTTCTGCCTAGCCCACGGACAGCTGGCCGAGTCCCTGCAGCTCTGCCTCCTGAACCCAGAGCTCACCAGGTGGGGCTGTCGGCACATGCTCCTTCTGACTCCGCCTGAGCCCACTGTCCCTCCCTTGTGAAACATGCCTCTTCCCCCCACCCCAGGGATGGGTTAACATCAAGAACAACTAAAATGACAGCCATGAAAGAAAAGTCAAGGGAGAAAGGGCAAAGGGGGGTGGTCAGAACACAGGAGTCCCAGCAGCACCACGATGCTTAAGCCTCCTGCCCCCCAGGGGCCACAACCCTGCCGTGGGAACCATGCCATGTGGTGTACAGCAGAGGCAGATTCTCGGGGTGGGGGCGGCCAGCAATAACACCAAGGTCAGAGGCCAAGGCTGCTGATCACCGTTACCACAGGAAATGGTATGGCCCCCGGAGCCCTCTGGTGTGCCCCGAACTCCAGGAAGACCTCCTGGACTCTCTCTACACTCTCAATGGGGTGGCCTTCAACCTGGACCTGCAGTGGCCAAACCTAGATGAAGCCTGGCCCATGTTCTCAGAGTGAGTGGGTCCCACATGGAGGGAAGCCCTCTTTCCAGTGCCTTAACTCCACCACCCCCTGCAAGCTCCAAACTCAGCCTGCGCCCCATCGATTCACCTCCCCTTCTTGCTGTCTGAGCCCCTGATCCTCCACCCCCCTCAGCCTTCTGTTTTCCCGGTGTAATCCCATCATGTTGCATGAGGCTGCATACAGTACTCACTCATAAGGAGTTGCTGGATGCTTGGGCTGGACGGTCAGAAGGACGAACCCCATGGTGGATGTCGGGATGAGTGGTGGGCGGGGTGTGTGCATGGATGGGGGAGGCGCATCTGTGAGGATGGGAAGGTGGGAGGGATAGTGCGGTCAATGGGTGGTTGGACCCCTGCCAGAGAGAGGCCCCCGGCCCCCCTTGCCCTTTCACTGCAGGTCCCATTACTCCAGTGCCAGTCGGACCCAGGGAAGAAGACCCAGAAAGCCCAAAGATTCCCCAAAGCAGGTGCCGTTGCCCAACTTCACTCCAAGTTGCCTCCTCTCCATCTCTCTTGGGCCCCCCAGGATGAGCAGTAACCAAGCAGACAGACAGACAGCTATCGATAGGGAGAGAAGGGGACCGTTGGCACCATCCACGGGAGCCAGGGGCCCAGGGGGTCAGGGAGGTGGTGGGGTGGGTACCCAGAAGCACGTAGGATGCACACCAGGGAAACAGCCTCCGTTGGACAATGTGCAAATGTCTCAGTGCAGTTCAGGGAGCAACTGAAGAGCCAGGTTTCTGGGTTCAAATCCCAGCTCTGCCCCTAATCACCAAGGTCCTTGGCAAGGTACTTGTCTTGCCTCGAAGGAGATTGTGAAGATGCGTTGAGACAGACCGCGTGTAGAACAGAGCAAGGCCCCCAGCCACATGCTCAGGAAGGGGCAGCTTGTGACTATTGCTGTTCCCCAGTCTTGCTTTGCACCCCCTCAGCTTCCGGGCACCAGGTCCAGATACCATGAGGATTCAGCCTCTGACCAGAAGGGGGAACCCATCACAATACAACCTGTTAAGTGCAGTGATGCAGACATGCACAGAACTTGGGACCACAGAGAAGGCTGCTTGAGAGAGGTGACTCTTCACTGCTGGGGGTCTGTTTAAGCTTTCACCACAACCCTACGAGGCAGGCGTTATTATTCCCAATTCACAGACCAGAAAACTGAAACACAGAGAAGTTCGGGGGCAAGATGGAGGAGAGGAGAGAGTGGGAAGAACTTAGCGGAAGCCAGATGGAAGGTGCAGCTGAAGGAGGGAGGGAGGAGAGGAAAGAACACTGAGAGGCACCTCAGCTCCCTGACCAGACCGAAGCTTGGGCCCCGGATCCACCTAGGGTGATGGCAGGATTCCGGTTCCTGGGTCCTGTCCCGGATCTCCTGAATCAACATGCTCTTAGAGTTAGCCAGTTCCTTGGTTTAGGTCTGCGGCCTCTCCTACACACCCGGTCGGCGAATTGGTGCTGAGAGTGGCTTCGGGGGCTTCTCTGCAGATCTCAGCCCCACATGGAGACCCCTCAGAATTCCAGCCAGAGGAACCGCACACTAGCCAAGCCGGCTATCTGCAAGATGCGCCCAGGGAAGACGGGTTAGCTGGACTCCCCAGGTCCCAGCAACACAGGCATCCTCGTCCCTTTGTGGAAAAGAAGAGAGATCCCAGGAGGCTCAGGCCCCCCCAGAGCATGTGGGAACCAGAGGGGGAAGAGGTTCAGCAAGCCCAGGAGAAGGGAGCCCCAAAAACTGGGATCTGCCTGGAGAACTCAACACCCAGCATCCGGAGACAGGGGGAGTGGGCCGCCGGAGCTCCGAAGGAGGTGATAGGGACAGAGGCTGAGGGCAGAGGGGTTGTGCCGGGTGCAGAGGAGACTCACAAAGGGGGAGCAGAGTGGGGTCATGTCCACAGGCTGCCGGCCTCCAGCCTCACAGGGACAATAGAGGACACGATGTCAGGAAGCCCGCAGGAATGGGAGGTGCCTAGCATTCGGGGAGAGCCCCGCGTCCTACGGGACCTAGGAACAAAGGAAGACTCCACCTCAGAGAGACCACAAGAGGAAAGAGGAGTGACCAGGGTGACCAGGAGGAAGGAGCCGGCAGAGGTGGCCTTGCAGGATGTGGTCAAGGTGAGAGCAGCTGAGCACTGTACCTGCCTCTTCTCCCCTCTCTAACCTGGCCCACAGGTGAGAGTCTTCAGTGGTGATGTGGCGGAGGGACATTGCAGCCCACAGATCAATTCTTTTTTTTTTTAATTTTCTTTTTAGATTTTATTTATTTATTTCAGAGAGAGAGACAGAGATAGTGAGAGAGAGCACAAGTGGGGAGGAGAGGGAGAAGCAGGCTCCCCGCAGAGCAAAGAACCCAATGCAGGACTCGATCGCAGGACTCTGGGCTCATGACCTGAGCTGAAGGCAGACGCTTAACCGACTGAGCCACCCAGGTGCCCCCCAGGCGCCCCCCACAGATCAATTCTGATTGGTCTGCAAAGGATGATTATTCTTAGAGGGGGTCTTCTTACCGTAGCCTCACGCCAGGCCCACTTCATTCATCAGTCCTACCTGCCTGGCCCCTGAGGGCACTTGAGTCTGAGACCCCTCCCCAACAGCTCTTCGGGGCAGCCACGTAGCTGCCCTTGTTGTAGATGCTTCTCCTGGAGATCACAAGATTGATTTCAAGCTTTCCTTCAGCCTCCTCTCTAGCCGCAGTCTTCATGCCCCTTGAGCTCTGTAACTTTCATCCTTCAGCAAAGGAAGAAATGGTGGCCCCAGGCTCACCCAGGGGCAGAGCCTGGCCTCTCAGCTCCCAGTGCTGTCCCCAGTCCTGCCCTCCACCCAAGGGCTGTCTCACCTGGCCTGGGGTCTCACGGGGATGTTTGTCAGGTCAGACCTGGAGCTGGGATCTCTGCCCTCCTCCCTCAGCTTCCCTTTCCCTTCCTTTACCTCCCACCCCCAAGAGCCTGAGACACGAGCTCCAGAAGACCAAGGAGCAGGCCCAGTACCAGGAGCAGCTGCTGAAGGAGCAGGAAGGGGAGCTGAAGACACTGCAGGAGCAGCTCAGCAGGTAACCTTGGCAACCCCCCCGGCACAAACAGGCCTGGCAGGGAGGCCCGCAGGACCGGAGGCTCCTGGCTCGCCCCTTGGTGGTCACGCCAGTAAGCGTCTTCTGAGTGCCTCCCATGCTGGACACAACTTGGGGATGCTGCGGCATGCAGGGCATTACTCCTGGGGCTCCTCAAGCAGCTCCCACTGATCCCCACCCCTGCCAGCCCCCCCGCAGGCCTCCCTGAGAGCCTCCAGGAGAGGTGGATGCCTCCTGACCCTCCCTCCCCTCCCACACTCACCTCTGCCCCTCTGCAGCTGCTCCCCTCTCTTTTCAAGCCAGTCTCCCTCCCTGCCCCTCCACACTCCTGCCCTTCGCTCTCCATCTTTCCCCCGTTCATTTGTCTCTCATTTTCCTGCTCCCTGTTACAGCCGCTCGTTCACCCTCTCAAATCACAATCGTCATCATAACTATCACTTACGGAGCATTTACTGTTCTAGGCGTTTCCTCCTAACCAGACTATGAGGTAGGTTCTCTAAGAATGCCCATTTTATAGATAGTGAAACTGAGTCTCCAAGGTGCCACACAATTCACCCAGTGTCACTAGTTAGCAGAGAGCTGAGGTCTGCACCACAGCGGCTGACTCCAGAACCGGTGGGCTTCCACAAGGGCCCCCAGGCAAGATTTTGAGTGCCTGTATTATTTCAGTCCCCCCGTTTCTCCCGCTCAGCCCCCCTCACCACCCAGCTTCTTCGACTTCCCGGCATCACACTAACCTCAAGAGCCTGGAGCACGCTCTCTCAGGGTCTGAGTTTCTCTTTCAGAATTTTTAAAATATCTCTGCCACGCAAAGGTCTTGCTTTGTCTGACTCGGTCCCTCCGGGTCTGTCTCCCGGCTCTGTCCCTCGCACGTGGCTGACGCCCGCCCCGGGACACCCCCCCCCCGACCGCATCGGAGCCGGTGGAGCTGTGCTTCAGACTGAATCACTGGGCAGTTGACAGACTCTCTGCTTAAAAGGCTGAGAGAGGCTGTGGGCCCAGAAACCAACCCAAAAAGATCCCCCCGGGCTCCTCCCACCGGACACTCAGGAAAAATCCCCAGGCAGTTTGGTCAGGAAAGATTCCCGTGATCCTGGCCCTAGGTGAACGCAGGGGCCCTGCCCACCCAGGGGCCTTCTCTGGGAATCAAGATGGCCTGTAGGGAGCAGCTGGGAGGCTTCAACGAGACCACCAGGTCTGGGGGAGCTCCCTCGGCTGGGGGAGCCCCTGAGTCACAGACCACCACCCTGCGGCCTGTCATCCCATCCAGCATCCCACAGACTCTCAGCTCACCTTCTCTGTGCCGGCCCTGTGGTGCGTGCCACAAATCCTCTTGACAACACAGACCAAACCCCTGTCCCTGTGGAGCTTCCCTTCTAGTGGGGGAGGCAATCGGTAAACACGACAAGCAAGTTAATTGCATAGTGTCAGATGTGACAAGTCCTAAGAAGAAAAAAGTCGAGCAGGGAAAGGGGATGGGGGTGTCGAGGGCTGAAGTTAAATATGGCGGCACGGCCAGGGAGGGCCTCCTTGAAAAAGTGACGCTTGAGTGAAGACCTGAAGGAAGTGAGGAGTAAGCCATTTGGGTATGTGGTCGAAGAATGATCCAGGCAGAGGAACAGCAAGGGCCAGGGCCCGGAGGTGGGAATGGGCGTGGCAGGTCCCAGGAACATTCCTGAGGCCCAGTGGAGTGAGGAGGGAGAGGAGGTAGGGGCAGGTCAGTCGGGTAGCAGGAGACCCTTGCAGGTCATCAAAAGGACCTTGGCTTTGACTCAGAGTGAGATAGGAACCACTGACAGTCCTGAGCAGAGGAGGGACAAGATGCAACTGTTTGCTTTAATGTTAATATGTTCGCTTTTTTTTTTTTTTAACAATACAGTGGGGTTTTGTGTATTCATAAAATTGTGCCTCGATCAGACATTTTCATCACCCCAAAGAGGAGACCCTGTACCATTAGCAGTCACTGCCCATTTTCTCCCAACCTCCCAGCCCTAGGCAAGCGCTCATCTGTCCCCGTAGACGTGCCTATTCCAGACTGATCTGTGCTTTCGAGGGCTCGAGGCCGCTGCTCTCTGGAGCTAGTCTGTAAGGAAGCGGGGATGCTGACGAGGAAGGGGAGCGCGGGGGGAGCCCCCAAATGCTCTCTGGCAATGGAGGTGCAAAGAAGCTGCAGGATTCTGGGTCCACTGTGAGGCCGGGCTTCCTGGTGCGAGAGAGAAACAGATGTCAAGAATGACTCGTTTTTCCGCCTGACCCGCTGGAAGGCTGGAGTCCCAGCTGACAGTCTGCCGTGGCAGGGCAGGCTTGTGGGGAAATTTCAGGAGTTGGGGTGAGAGCATGTTAAGTTTCAGACACCCATTGGACAGGCAAGTGGAGCCGCTGGGCAGAGGAGGGTGTGGAGCTCAGAGGAGAGGCACAGGCTGATCTGCCGGAGAGCCGTCAGAACGCGGGTAGTGGGAACAGAAGCTTCTGCGGCTGGGAGGACGATGCGCTCCCCTGCCTCCTGGGATCCAGGGAATTCAGGAGGAACATCTCACTCCAGGGGCCAATCCCATCAAGCTGGGATTGGCTGTCTCACCACCGCCAGAGAGAAGTGCCATGGGGCCCACTGAGTCAGCCAACAATAGTATGGTGCCTCTACTGTGGCCGTGAATGGGGTGACAGCCATGAACAGAACAGGCAGTGTCTGCTCTCCGGGACCTGCGGAGACAGACGACAGATCAACAAATAGAAATGGAACATCAGCTAGTCATGGGTGCTGTGGGAAAACATCAGTCCAGGAAAGGGGATAGAGACAAGAGAGTCACCTAGACTTAGAGTCACAGGCTTCCTCGCTGAGGAGGTGACAGTTGAGCAGAAGCCCCGATCACTGGAACAACTGGACCATGCAGATATGGTGGGAGGAGTGCTCCAGGCAGGGGGACCTGCAAATGCAAAATCCCTGTGGGGCTGGAGCAGAGTCTTGAGCAGGAAGTGGGGGGTCCCAAGGGCTTCAGGATTGCTCTGTCTGTGGTGTGGAGAATAGAGTGAAGATGGACAGGGGTGCAGCCCTTGGGTGCAGAGCCCCAGACTGGACACACAGGGGAGACACCAGACCAGCCAAGCATCAGACCCCAGCAGACCAACCAGGGGCTAAGAAAATACACTTGGAACTGAGCTGTGGGGCATCCGACACCCACTTCCCAGCTCTCTGGCCATGGCACCTTGAGAAACTGACCTTCCCTCTCTGGCCTCTGGTGTCTGATTTGCAAAAGGAGATGGTTGGATCTCTAAAGTTCCTCCTTCCAGCTCCAATGCTCTGTGAGACCATCCTTCCAAGCAGGTGGGTTTCCTCTGCCCTGGGTAAGACCTCAAAGCAAAGGTGATTAGGTCAGGTATGAGTGGAAGAGGTCCTCAGATGGGGAATTAGGCAAACAACACACACACACCCCCAGCTCCCCCCTGAGTTCCTTTGAGGCACATCAGGGGCTCATAAGGATCTATCCCTTTCTCCCACCGGTTGCCCACTCAGCACCGGTGCCATAAACCACCGAAGTGTGGGGAGACAGCAAGAGTTGATGGCCTGAGAGGCCTGCATCCTGATTTCTGCTCCCTTCACTTATCAAGCTGTGTGACCCTCGGCAAGTGTGATTTCCTCTCTGAAGCTCTAGTTTCTTTCCTGTAAAATGACGATCATATTATCTATCCATATATTTCTGAAAATTAAAACGGAGCCAGGCTATAAAGCCCTGAGCTCAGGGTCTGGCATGTAGTAGGTGTTCAATAGACTTGAATTCCTTCCAGGTCCCCTCCTGCACCAGAGGTGTCTGTCAGCCCCTGCTTGAAATACTTAGGTGTCTTTCCATTGCACTGAGATTAAAGTCCACCCTTCCCGGGGCCCGCGAGGCCGAGATCAGGCCCTGCTCCTTCCCACCTCCTCTCTTGCCCACCCCCACCTCCTGTCCTTCGTGATATTCCAGCTTGCCTTGCCTTCTTTCAGTTCCTCAAACAAACCAAGTTCTTGCCAACTTGCAGACCTTCGCATGTGCCTTTCCGTGGCTCTCCATGGCCAACTTCTCATCTCTTGGATCTGCCTAAAGGTCACCTCATCTCAGGAGCACCCTCTCGAGTCCGTCCCCGCCTCTTCTTCATCCTGGTCATATACTTGGCTTCACGGTGTTATTGGCCCATCACTTGTTTTGAACACGGCCCCAGACACATTCTAAGCTCCACCAGGAGGCATAGGCACTGCTGTATTCCTGCCCCCTCCAACAGCCCCTGGCACATAGTAGGTGCTTAAGAAATGTTCCCTCCCCACCTCAAAGACACACTGTAACCATGGTGCTCACATCCGGACGAGCACCAGCCGCACCAAAGGCCCTGGGATCAGTGCGCAAGTAAACTAACTCAGGAAAATGAAACAGCAATACTAAGAAGGAAGGATACTGGAGACCGGAATGTTCATTAAAAGTCAGAACATGGCCCTGAGCACAAGAACACCCTTCCTTAGGGTTGCAGGGACTGACTGGTCTTTCGGAATTTCCATGGGTATCTGTTGTCGGTTTGATTTTACAGCCCACCCAGCTTTCTTCTCGGAGGCCTGCTACGCAGCGGCGTTGTAAAAATTCACAATTCAGTTCCAAGTGAAGCCTCTTGCAAGCCTCAAACACACTGAAGCCTAGGGGTGTGGCCACACACACACACACACACACATCTGAGGTCACAGGATATGCACCCGCCTTTGCAACACCCTCCCATCTGAGTGATGGAGGGAGGGGCTGGGACCCTCTTATTTCCAGTCCAGCAGATTTCTTGGAACCTGCTGGGACGCCACCAAAGACAAAAAGAAGAGGCCAGAACAGAGCTGAGGCAATGCCAAGCCCAAACTGAAAGAAAAATTTAAGAAAGCCGTATGTTTAATATTGCTTTTTTAACTGAGAAGACAATGTGCTGTAATTTTTCAAAAGATTTTAAAACCTAAAAATCACCCCAAACCCCACCCCACCTACCCCCCCTCCCAAACCAGTAATTGTTCTCAGCTGGGCACAGCCCATCCAGCCTGGTCCCCAGAAGAGCCCCCCTTCCCTCCAGACAACTGCCATGATTGTGAGTATGCCTTTCAAGAAAATCACATTTTAAAATGGAAATGTTAAAAAAAGAAAAGAAAAGAAATGCAAATGGCAACGTTGGCTACACCCTGTGTTCATCCCTCTGAACGGCTGGTAAGGAGTCAGCCTCCAGATGTCACGCCGTACACGGTGCTCCGCTCGGTGTGTGTGTGAGCATGTGTGGCATGGGAGGGAGTCGGGGTGTGGAGAATGTGTGAAGAACGTGCAGATATTTGAGTGTGTGTGTGTGTGTGGTGTGTGTGCGCACATCAGCTGTAGGAGGCACGGCCAGCTTCCCCCAGGAGCCCCGTGGCGGGCACGAATGCCAGCACTGAGTCCTCCTTCTGTGCCCAGGTGTCAGGAGGAGAGGGCCCGGCTGCAGACGGAGCTGGAGCAGAAGCTGCAGGAGGCTGAGAGGAGGGACACCATGTATGAGGAGGAGCTTGGAGGGCAGCGGGACCTGGTCCGGGCCATGAAGATGAGGGTGCTGGAGCTGATTCAGTAAGGGCGGACGCGGTGGGGCAGGAGTGCGGAAGGGGGGATGGCTTGGGATGTAGAGACTGGGGAATGAAAACTCTACTCCACTAAAGACTATCAAGCAGGGTTCTGAACCTTTTATGTATGCTAACTCATCTCCTTCTTGTGGCCACCCCCGCTGTTCTCCTCATCTTATAGATGGGTCAGAGAGGCTGACTTGGCCACCAAGGACACACAGCATATAAATTGCAGGGAGTCTTCTGGCTCCAAGGCACGCCACCACTCCAATGCAACCCCACACACATACACACCTACTTAAGGTTAGGGGAAAGGAAAGGAACCCATGGATGGAGAAGGAATTGAGAGAAGGGGGAGGTTAACCAAGAGTTAATCGTATGTCCTGTACCTGACTACCTGCTAGACTTCCACAGACCACTGGGCCTATGGGCCACCCTGGGGCAGCTGTCCTAGGTTCCAGAGGCTAAGCTCACCAGGATCGATTCCAAACCACTAAGCCACTGAGGGATGGAGGAGCTGTGTAAAGCCTGGTTTCTGCCCTAGTGGGGAGCTAATGTTATACTTTGACCCAGTTCAGGAAGCAGGACACCACTGGACTCAGGTTCCATTAGAATTAGAAGGTCGCTGAGGGATCATCTAGGACTAAATCCTCTGGCACAAAATCCAAGTGATACTAAAGAGGAGAGAAGGCAGAAGTCAACCTGGAAAGAACAAACCAGCAATTTAAGGAATGATCTCCTCCAAGGAGCTGTCAGCTGGGAGAAAAGAGGATATAAAATATTAGCTGTATATCTCACAAAAGAATTTGAGGTAGCCAACAATGAAAGACATATATACACATATATATGACTGTTATATATGATATATATATATGATTGTTAAATAAAAACAGGCAAAATGGAAGAGGAAAAATATATACTCCCAAGGTATTAGGATTAGGGTTAGGGTCGAAATTTAACTCTGAGCATCTTGGCAGCAGAATCAAAAATGGAAACACAGAAAGTTGCCTAAATGTCACTAGGCATTCCAAGGAAATACACCAGTGCATCAGGAGGGAAAAATGCTTTTCCTCATGTTAAAGAAACTCATCACAAGATCCCAAACTACATAATATAATGTTCTTTGCAGAAGCATCATGGAAAATCTGGCCCTAAGCAAAAAGGGGGGTGGGGAGCCATAGAGGCTGACTTCTGCATCAAGATGGTAGACTGACACATCACCTCTTTTCCACCCTGAGATCTCACTAGAATGATCATAAAGAAAGAAAGAAAGAAAACTTATAATAGAGAGAAAGATGGAGGAGCCAACCACAGAGAAGAGATTTCAGCTACTTTCCAGAAACTGGAAAATGGATGAAAAGGTAGATACTGGATTTAGCCCAGGTTAGAACTTCAGGGCCCAGAGACACCAGGAACTCAGATGGCAGGAATGAGATGAGGGACAGATATCAGGAAAATTAACGGATAAAGTCATCAGAAAGAGCAGTGTATACCCCCTGCTTTCTGCCTGCCTCCCCGACTGCAGAATATCAATCCCAGAGATCGATCTCCCAGGCAAAGAATTAAAATGTCCTTCTCTAAAAAAAAAGTTAGATGCCCCCAAATAAAAGAGCAGTGTGTTCTGACATTTGACAGTCCATGGGGCAGGTAGCTCCCTGTCCAGTCCATCCTAAAGGGAAGCCACAAGCCAACCAACCGTCCCTGTCAAGTACTTGAAACTCCAGCAGCTTAAACATGAAATAGTAACCAGAGATCTCCAGATGTTTGAGAAGAATCTAGAACATAAAAGGGAGAGACAAAGATAAGCAAACAAACAAAAAGATCCGTCTCCCATGAAACAAGATTCTGTGGTAAGGGACCATCAAAAGATGAGAAATGTTCTTGGAAATTAAAAATATCTCTCAAATTTTTTTTAAATTCATAAAGATTGGAAAAGGAAGAGGAGGCAGTCTCTCAGAACGTAGAGTAAAATGCATAAAGAGATGGAATGCATGAGAGAAACAATTGCAAACATAAAGAATCAATCCAGGAGTTTCACTATCTTCTCCAACTGACAAGAATTCCCAAGAAGGAGAGAATAAAATCAAGGAGATTATCAGATAAAAAGATGAGAGACTTTCCCAGCTCTGAGGGTCACAGGTCTTCAGATGTAAAGATGTCACAGAGTAACCAGCACAACAAGCAAAAGGAAGGGAAATGCACATCGAGATACACCGTTGTGAAATCTCGGTAAAATAAAGATGAGAACAATATACTCAAGACACGTCACTTATAAAAGAAGTAGGACACAGGGGCGCCTGGGTGGCTCAGTCGTTAAGCGTCTGCCTTCGGCTCAGGTCATGATCTCAGGGTCCTGGGATCGAGCCCCGCATCGGGCTCCCTGCTCTGCGGGAAGCCTGCTTCTCCCTCTCCCCCTCCCCCTGCTTGTGTTCCCTCTCTCGCTGTGTCTCTCTCTGTCAAATAAATAAATAAAATCTTTAGGAAAAAAAAAAAAGAAGTAGGACACAGAAAAACATGTTAAGGATCAATGGCGCCTGGGTGGCTCAGTCAATTAAGCATCCAGCTCTTCATCTTGGCTCAGGTCTTAATCTCAGGGTCGTGAGTTCAAGCCCTGCATTAGGCTCCAGGCTGGGTTGTGACGTCTACTTAAAAAAAAAAAAATGCAGCCATACTTTCAAGTTCTGAGGAAAGAGCTTTTGCCCTAGAATTCTAGGTCCAGCCAAACTATGAAGCAAGTAGGGAAGGTGACGCAGGAAAGACGTTTTTCAGGAAGACGGGTAATATAAAATGCACCTCCCACAAAGCCTTTCTTGGGAAGTTAATTAAGGATGTACTTCAGAAAGGGGCGCCTGGGTGGCTCAGTTGGTTAAGCAACTGCCTTCGGCTCAGGTCATGATCCTGGAGTCCTGGGATCGAGTCCCGCATCGGGCTCCCTGCTCGGCAGGGAGTCTGCTTCTCCCTCTGACCCTCCCCCCTCTCATGTGCTTTCTCTCTCTCATTCAATAAATAAATAAAATCTTTAAAAAAAAAAAAAAAAGGATGTACTTCAGAAAAACAAGGAAGTAAGCCAAGAAAGGAGAAGATGTAGAATTCAGGAAACAGTCACAGTAGTCCAGGAGAGAAGAAAAGGGAATTCCCAAGATGACAAGAGGACAGACAGCAAGCCCAGGGAGCAGTAAGTCCAGGCTGTAGCAGAAATATAGAGGACCCAGGAGGAAAGTCTCTGGGGAGGAAGAGAATCAATAAAATACCTATATGATGAAGGATTTGTTGGGGAGAGAGAATACTTAGGCTATGTTAAAGGCAAGTCATGCACGGAGCAAAAAAAGACAATTGGAAAGTCCTGGAAAAACAGAAAATTTCCAAGAAAGGAAATATGTAGAACACATCTTAGCTCTCCTTGAAGAAATATGTTTATATATCGTCTAATAATATAAATACTATTTATTGATTTTTTTAATGTTGGAATCAACCTAAAGACCAAGCACAGAAAACAACTGCAATGATAGAACTGTCAATATTATCACCTAAACAATATTAAGTATAGAATAGAATCCAATAGAACTTTCTATGAGGAAGAAAATGTCCTCTATTTGCCCTGTCCAGTATGGTAGCTACCGGTCACATGTAGCGACTGAGTATTTCAAATGTGTCTGTGACTGAAGAACTGAAGTTCTAATTTTAGTTCATTTTAGTCAAATTAAATATAAATTAAAGTAGCCACATGGGACTAGTGGCCACCATATTGGATGTTACAGGAAAAGGAGGTGAGCAAAGGAGGCTCTCTGAAGAGGAAGGGATGCTGCCGTCATCATATGACAGAATGGCAGTCGGGATGCTATCTGTGCTTCATAGGATGAGTGAGAAATAAATGTGTGAGTATATTCTGTAAAACTGTAATAGAGGAACCAAAAATAGGGATATTCTGGGGAGGAAGGAGGTAGAGTTAGTGAGGATGGTACTAAATAAGCTAACTCCCCTGACATCAAAGTAAAGAGCTCTGTAGAAGATGTTCCCTCTTGATGTATCAAGAAGAGAGGATATGAGCATATTACTTAAGGGTGGAAGTAATATCAAGGAGAAAAAGCTCAAAGTGTAAGAAGTGGTTTGCCACTGAAATTGGAAGGAGTGGGGAGGGTGTCTATTTCCTTTTGCTATAAGTACTTCTATACTGTTGGATTTTTAAGTCGTGTGTATGTATCATTTTGATTATAAAAAAGTTTTTTTAAAGTGGGAGACAGAGGGGGAGGGGCAGAGGGAAAGAGAGAGAATCTTAAGCAGGCTCCATACCCGGCTCAGAGATCCATGCAGGGCTCAATCTCACAAACCCTGAGATCATGACCTGAGCCGAAATCAAGAGTCAGAGCTTAACCAACTGATCCACTCAGGTGCTCCCTAAACATCCTTTAAAAAAAAAAAAAAAAAAAAACCAGTGAGGATAGTTTTGCAGGAGTGTAGCCTGCTTAACTAGAAGGGGATTTCCATCAAGTGCCAAATAAAAGCTAAGGGCATTATAAGAAACTGCTGGGGACGTCTACAATCAGGGAGCACTCCTTAGAGGAGGTGGGATATGAAGGTTATATTGGGCGAGGGGAACCCGGATGTTGCCATCCATCTTCCCAAAGACTACAGACTCCCTTACCTCTTATGTGGGGGGGGGGGGGTCTCCTTCATGGTCTCTTCATTTCTGTCTTTCTCTATCACTGTGTCTCTTTCTGTCTCTCCATCTTTCTCTGTATTTTTCTCTCCCTCTCTCTGTGTCCCTTACTGTCTCTGCATCTTGTTCTCTTGGTCTCTCTCTCTCTACATTTATCTCCCCATCTACCTCTCTGTGTGTCTCTCTTTGTCTCCCTCTCCAACTCCCTGACTTCCTTTCTCTCTGACCGTCTCTCTCTGTCCTTCTCTGTCTCCCTCTTGTTTTCTATGTCTCGGTCTTTCTGCCTTGCTGTCTCTCTCTCTCTCTCTTTTTGTTTTGTTTTGTTTCTTTGTGTGTGTCTCTGGGTGACCCACACCCTCTCTCTCTCTCTCTTCTTGGTCTCCGTGTTTCTCTTTCTCCCCGTCTTGGTCTCTCCATCTTCCCGTCTCTGTGTGTGTCTCCGCACCCCCGGCCGCCCATCAGAGAGAAGGACGACCTGTGGCAGAAAGCCCAGCATCTGTCTTCCACGGCCCCCGGATGCTGTGTGGACTGCAGCAAGATCTTTGGCCGGCTGTCTCGGCGGTACCCATGCAGGTAATGGGGAGGGCACAGAAGTCTTGGTCTGGGACAAGCACTGTTTCCACCAGCCCACCGCGCTCTGCCCCCGCTGGGACAGGAGGGACACAGCAACCGGGGGTTTATGAAAGCCACTTAAAGCCGGCCACTCACTTTACACAACACTTAGCATAGACATGAACCAGAACAGTGGAAAGGGGTCAGACAAGCAACAGTGTCTGGAAGACGGGACTGTGCAATCCTTCTGAGAAGAGTCTGATGAACAGGCTTCTGGTCTGGGAAGAGCTGCTCCCCTCACCTTTCTCAGGGAACGGGGTGGCAGGACAAGCGTGGGGGAGAGTGAAGGGGGCCAGCAGGAGAACCTGTCATTTGGACTTAAAGGACTCTGGAGGGGGTGGGGCACTGAGACACCCTTTAGGAAAGGGGAGGCCTCCTTGGACAGGCCTAGGGCCTCTCTGCTGGGAGATCAGGAACAGAAGGGACAGCACATGCTCAAGCCCCGTGTTCCCCTCCCCCATACACACCCATGAGCCCCCACTCTTCCCACCTCTGCTCCCAGGCTCTGCGGAGGCCAGGTTTGCCATGCCTGCTCTGTGGATTACAAGAAGAGAGAGGGCCACTGCCAACCCTGCTCCCAGAAGGGCGAAGCTCAATTCGACTGACAGGATCACCCGGACGGGGCCACCCACCCTCCTCCCTCAATCAGCTCCCTCCCCTCGCCCTTCCCACCTCTCTGGTCTGACCAGTCCTGCCTTCTAGAAGTTGACGATCTAAGGCAGACAGCACTTGTGTGCACATCCTGCAGCGTGGAGAGCGGGAGGAGCCGGCTGGAGCCCTACAGCCCTCACCCATGAGCGGGGCGGCTTGAGAAAGCTCACAGCTGTCCGTCTGGGCTTCTTCTGTCTGTGAGGGTGCCAGGCACCATCCTCCCTAAAGGCCCTCCACGCTCAGCACATCCTGGACCGAGAAGAAGACGCAGGGGCCCTGACATTTCTCCGCACCCCCACCTCACCCAGCCCACCCTTCACCACACTCAGGGAGCATCCTATCTGGAGTCGGCTGTGAAGGTCTGCTTTTGCTGTGTTTCATTTTTAACAGCTTTCTTGAGGTCTTGACATTTAACACACTTCACATAAATTGTACAACTGGATGAGTTTTGACTTTAATATACACCCATGAAACCATCACCATGTTCACAATAATGAACACATCCATCATCCCCAGAGTTTTTCTTCATGCCCTTTGTAATCTCTCCCTCGCCCTCCCCCTCCCAAGGCAACCACTTATCTGCTCTCTACCACTAGACCCGAGCTTTCCAGAATTTTATATAAACGGAATCATCTGGTATGCACTCTGTATTGTCTGCCTTCTTTCACTCAGCATACTTATTTTGGGATTCATCCATGTTGGTGCACATATCAATAGTCCCTGTTTACTGCTAAGTGGAAGAACTCTACTGCATGGAGAGACCACAATTTTGTTTACACATTCAGCTGTTGCCAGACATTTGGATTGTTTCCAATTTGAGGCTGTTACACATACGTTTCCTAAATCAGCTGCGTACAAATCTTTGTACAGACATTTGCTCTTATTTCACTTGGGGAAATACCTAGGAACGAAATGGCCAGGTCCTAGGATAGGTATATGTTTAACTTTTAAGAAACTGCTGAGTTGTTTCCCAAAGAAGTCGTGCATTGTTCCCTCCCACCAGCAGTGTATGGGAGTCCCAGATGCTCCCCAGAGCACAGACATGGGGCTTGGGCCTCTCTCTCTCCTTTCCTTCCAACTGCTATGGTGACTTGGTGGTCCCACGTTGTGAGTGCCTGGAGGGAGGGGCTGAAACCAGGTGACTCTCCATGCAGTGCTCACTCAGCTACATTTTAATAAAGAGGGTTGATGAGGACTTGTGTAGCTCCATGGTACAAGATCATATCCCCTGACTGCATGAGAAGTCTTTTTTTTTTAAAGATTTTATTTATTTGACAGAGAGAGACACAGCGAGAGAGGGAACACAAGCAGGGGGAGTGGGAGAGGGAGAAGCAGGCTTCCCGCGGAGCAGGGAGCCCGATGCGGGGCTCGATCCCAGGACCCTGTGATCATGACCTGAGCTGAAGGCAGACGCTTAAGGACTGAGCCACCCAGGCGCCCCCTGCCTGAGAAGTCTTACGTAAATTCTGTGTCATTCACTGGGCACCCAATTGTGGTGCTTCTGGGAATACCATTTCAGAAGAAGCGTGGGCCCCACTTGGTATCAAGGGGATTAGTTGCCGTATCTGAGCTCCAGGGCAGACTTTGTGGCCCCAAACAGGCATGGTGATTTTATCCCCATCCCCTCTGCCTCGCATGGGCTGCCGGGTCCTCTGCGGTGGTTGGGCAACCCTGTGGCTCAGGCCAGCGCCTATGCACCGCCTCTTGGGGTCAAGGCCACCCAGAGTTGCATCCCATTACCATGGCATGGAGCAAGAGTTTTGCAATAGCAGTTCCTGCCCTGGAGAGCTGGTGAGAACTTCTCCTTAGCAAAGGCTGCAACAAGGTGAGGGGCAGGGAATGGAGGGAGCGGAGGGGGGCAGGGCTGGGGCTCTGGAGCAATCAGGACAATAGAATCACCCCTACCCTAAGGGGCAGCAATCCCTTCTCGAGGGTCCAGTTTGCTCAGAAACTTTTATTAGGGCAAGGTTCTTATTCTAGTGGAAGACATCACGTTCTAGTGGAACTCCAGGGTCAAGTTCACACCTGCCTGAAAACTGAGGGAGCGAAGAGACCTAGCAGAAGCCTATGTTCAAAGAGGAGGCAGAGTTCTGCTCCTGGATCAGAGCTCATCCAAAGGAAATCAGGGGCTGGGAATGGGGGAACTTGACCTTCTCCCTGTCTGGGAGGGATGGAAGGACAATGCTGACCACCAGCCTCTAGCTCAACACTGCCCCCCAGAGAGTCCCCACCAAGTCCAATGAAGAGCGCTAAACCTCCACAAAGACATTAGAAGACTGGCGATCCTCTGGCAGAAGGTTCCATGGTCACCATAGGCTGCAAGGGCGTCGGTCCTTCAGCAGTGACTCAGAGGCGAGTCTAGCACAGCAACACCCAGAAGAGCCCCCGGGGGACACTCCCAACAGACTCCCTCAAATTTCTGGGGGAACCTTGTGGGGGGATGAAGCCCTGCATGAGCACAGAGAGTCTAAGCTAGTACAATTTTGGTCACTGCCATTGACGTGACCTCACTTGTGCTCACAGGCTGGGGATGCCCTGAGAAATTTGGGCGACGTAATTATTTCTTTAAATAAGATGTCACTTGGATCCTCCCATGTATAGCAGTTCCCCCACTTTGTCAACTCATTCGGTGCTCAACAAAATGATATGAAGCACTCAGAATATGCCCAAAACACTGTGATTGGTTTGGGGATACAGAGATTTTTATCATAGATTTATCATATTTATGCATATTATTTATATATTTTTCTACATTATATATCATATTTATATACTGTTTTTATATATTATATATATAAGATATAAAATCCCTATTTTTAAGAACCTCACAGTGGGGAGGAGGGAGTGACATGATGATTACAAATCCCATAACTGAAGCCGTGATAGAGATAAGCCCTGGGGGCGGTGTGGACAGCCCAGAGAGGGCTGCGTCCATGGAGGTCATGACCAGCCTGAACCTTAAAGGAGAAAGGAAAGGTGGCCAGACCAAGAGTGTAGGGAAGAGCCTTCCAAGGGGAAGGGAAGTGCATGCCGGGGCCGGGGGGGGGGGGGGGGGGGGGGGGCGGGTACCAAACGTCTCTTCGGGAGCTACGCAGAGTTCCCTGTGGTTGTAGTTGAGGGGTCCCGGGGGTGTGGCCTGGAACGAGTCTGGGTAGGTACACAAGGGGATGCAGAGGCACCAGGTGCCAAGGTCAGGCGATTGACCTACCTGAGGACAATGCGGGTCCTCAGAGGGTTTTAAAAGGAAAAGAGCACGATCAAATTCACACTTTGGGAAGATTGTTCTGGGAGCAGAGTGGAGGATGGTTTGAGGGGGGAAAGACTTGAGGCAGAGATGATTTAGACTCTCCCTCTGCCCCTCCCCCACCGCTCGTGCACACGCGCTCTCTTTCTCTCAAATAAAAAAATCTTTATAGACACATTTAATCTGCATGACAACACTATGCAGCAGGTGCTTCATTAGCCCCGTTTTACAGATGATGAAACTGAGGCCCCGTGAGACTGAATAACTTGCCCAAGGTCTGCAGTCCAGCTCCAGAATCCACAGCTCTTGCGTGCATATTGCAGTAGTTTAGGTGAGAGAGAATAAAGTGTTGCCTAACGCTGTCAGTGAAGATGGTGAAGAGGAGATAATCAAGAGAGATGCTAAAGACATAGCCTCGTTTGAGGGGCGTGTAAGGGGCGTGCAAGGGGCGGGCCGTTTCCGGTTGGCCAGATGCCCGGCTAGGAGGGTGGGGCAGGAAATCCAAGAGACAGGTTTTCTACCTGCTGAGCTTGCAGCACCTGTGGGACTTCAGGGGAAACGTCAAGAGATGGCTGCATGAGGAGTCTGAGCTGCAAAGAGAAGTTTAGGAGGGAGGTCAGGCGCTGAAGGTGTGGGAGACCCCGGCACTTACTGGGTGGTGGCTGAAGCCAAGGGAGCAGGTGGGCTGGCCTGGGGAGGGCAGGGAGAGAAGAGGACCAATGCAGAGCCCCAAGGAACATCCAGATTTGAGGAATGAATGGAGTACTAAAGCCACAAAATGAGACTAAGTTTCAGGAGAAATAAGAAGAGAATGAAGTCAGTGGGATTAAATGCTGCAGAGGTCAAATGAGACTTGAATAATAACCATTTCACCATAAATACAGTTACAAGGCATACAGCAGACCGGAAAAAAATATTTTAACATAATTGACAACTGTGAGATAGTATGAGTAGATAGGGTAACAGGCCCTTTTATAAAGCACCAATGGGAGAATAAATTGATACAGTCTTTTACTGAAGCATAGTTGATACACAATGTTATATTAATTTCAGGTATACAACACAGTGACTGGACAATTCTGTACATTATGCCATGCTCACCGCAATAAGTGCAGTCACCATAAACTGGTACAGCCTTATTAAAATTTAAATGTGCACAGATATGACCCAGCAAAATTACACTTAAGCTACACAATCAAACAAGTTCCCAAAGACCTGCATCCAAAGATGCTCGTAGCAAGACTTAAATATTCATCCATAAGGTAATTATTGGATCAATCATGATACATCCGCACCATGGACTAGTATGTTGTCACCGTAAAGAGTAAGGTGCATCTACATGCATGCCCATGACAGCGTGTTAAGGTGCAGAATGACATAACCAGTTCAATATCATTTGTTTTAGGGGGAAAAGGAAGGAAAACATGTCCGTATATGCGTGGGGGGGGGGAAGTCTGGAAAGATGGACACAAGATATGTGAGAATCTAAGGATGGAAAGGAGTCCTTCCAGTTCAACTTTAGACGCTTTTGAGGTGTCTGTATTCTTTACAGTATGCAAGCTTTGTTGTCGCAACTGTAAAGCCGCTTTATTTAAGAGAAGGGCTTATTGGATGTCGCGGCCTGAGGTCGTCGGTCATGTTGGCAAGAGCTGTTTCAGCAGAGCAATGGGAAGGGAGCTAGCTACGGTGGGCTGAGCGGTGAACGAGGGGAGGCGAGGTGGAAGCAGCCCCTTTCTCTAGAAGTCCAACCGTGAGGAGGGCGCTGGGGGTGTAGTAGCGGGAGGGGTCCCGAAACAGAGGGAGGGTGAGGGCGACATGAGCAAGCTCAGGAAAGGAGATGGCAGGTGGGGCAGAAGGGCTAGGAGGCAGGACCCTCAAGGATGTGAGAGACAGGGTGTCCCGGAGTCAGGGCAGGAATTCACCAGAAAGAGAAGGAGGGACGCTTCTCACGCTGACCCTAGAAGGAAGGAAGAGAGTGTGCAACAAGTGCAGGCAAGTCTGCTCACCGGGAGCTGGGGTGGACTGTATCTTCCTTGTAAAGAAGGAGGTGCATGTTCGAAACGCTCCGAGACGGAGGTTGACCAGCCACACCTCCCCCGTCAGACTGGCAGGCTCCTCCAGAAGCCCTTAGACAGGTAGGCGTGAAAATCCCCAGTGCCCATCACAGAATCTCCAGGTGGGCGGATCCTTGGCCCGGAGTCAGAGTCCCAGGACAGACCTCATTGCTCCTCGGAGGGGACGCCTCCTGGTGGGCCTCCTGGAATTCACCCTGGTGACCCCAGGTCAGACGTTTCCCTATAAAGTCTGCTTCTCTTTTTTGCTGCCCAAAAGCGCTGACTGGTCCCAAGCCCCGAGACACAGAGGAGATCAGCCCCTCCAACGACAACAGCAGCTGTCAAAGCAAACAGCAGGTAAGTGAGCTGTTCGGTGTTAGGGCCACCAGGGCCCCGCGTCTGTTGGAATTTCAGTCTCCTCTCTGAGTCCCCTGAGAACTGACGTGTTGAACTGCAGAAACGTAGAGCTAAAGAGAACAAAGTCTTGGGGCGCCTGGGTGGCTCAGTCGTTAAGCGTCTGCCTTCGGCTCAGGTCATGATCCCAGGGTCCTGGGATCGATCAAGTCCCGCATCGGGCTCCCTTCTCCGCGGGAGGCCTGCTTCTCCCTCTCCCACTCCCCCTGCTTGTGTTCCCTCTCTCGCTGTGTCTCTCTCTGTCAAATAAATAAAATCTTTAAAAAATAATAAAATAAAAAATAAAGAGAACAAAGTCTTCACTTAGACAGCATGGCACAAAAGAACTTTCTGCAGTCCTGGGGAGTGTTCTCGATCTGCACCGTCCAATACGGTAGCCACTTGTCACGTGTGGCCCTTGAACCCTTGAAAGGCGGCTAGTATGACTGAGGAACTACATTTTTCGTTCTATTTCAACTAAATTTAAGTAGCTACATATGCCTAGTGGCCATCGTACAGGACAATAAGATCTAGAACAATTGCCTCATTTTCTGACAGACCACATCAAGGCCCGGAGAGAATTGACTTGTCCAAGCTCATCCTGACCATAAGCAGCAGAACTAGCCACTTCTTTATTCACCCCACCATCCACATGCAGGTGGTCGGTTCAGGGGAAACGAAATCAACCTAATGAAAATCAAGAAGTGAGCCGGTGGGGAAATGTCAAATCTGGGCTCCCCTTTCTACACCTTTTTATTCCATTGTCTGGGACAGAGAGGTTCCTAACCGAGCTCAGAAAGCTGAGACTAGGATCCAGGCCCTCGTTACAGTGGACAGAATACAGGATTTGAGGTCAGGTAAAAACATTTCTTAAAAACTGTTTAAAACCCAGTTCCTTGTGTCACTCTGATGAGGTTGCTTAACTCCCAGAGTCTGGTTTCCTCATTCAGAAAGTGCACACTTCATGGCTTTGTTGTGAGGATTAAATATGTACAAATTCTTTTTTTTCAAGATTTTATTTTTAAGTAATCTCTACACCCAACATGGGGCTCAAACTCACGACCCCAAGATCAAGAGTTGCCTGCTCCCCCAACTGAGCCAGCCAGGCATCCCTAAGTGCAAGAATTCTGAAAAGCTCTTTTCGCAGAAGCTGGACCCGAGTAGGCACCCAACGTTACGGTTAGTGTGACGGTTGTTATTCACGCCAGAGCCGATGAAGATGTACATCAAAGTGAGCCCGGAAAGCCGACCCGCTGCTATTCCTTCCTTGGGGGGTGTAGTGGGACAGACGTCATGACGCTAGTTAACAAACTGTTCCAGAAATGAAGATCACCACGACAGACGCTAACATCATGCTTGCTCTAAGTCTTAAGCGCTTTACGGGTAATCCCTCATTTGATCCTCAGCACAACCCGACGAGTTAGATGCTATCACTGGCCTCATTGTACAGATGAGTAAACTGAGACTTGGAAAGGGAAAGTCACTGGCCCCGAGCTGCTTGGCTTGCTGAGCAGCTTTCCTGGGCCTCTCTCTGTATAACAAGCCTCTGTCTGGTTTTAGCATCGCCTGGCCAGGAGTCACGGCATTCTTCTCCAAGCATGGGAAAGAGAGAAGTGACAAAGAACGGTTGCAAGGTTCTTCCCTAGGGGTAGGCAAGTTTGTTGCAGGCTTCGAGCACTCTGCGGGCCCTGGGATGCAGGGACAAGAGGCGAAGTGGAGAAGCCAGAGGTATGGTTTGCTGGGGTGGGGGCTTGGGAGGGAGCCGTGAATTAGTGGTCACTGTTCTGCCTGTATTTATCCTTGCCACTGTAATCAATAGCAAAGGTGACAAAAATACATTCTTAGTGTCACTCAACACTGCTTTCAAAAATGTGTTTGGATTTGGATAAGATGCAAATTTTTCCCAAAAGGCTTTCTTTCCAAATTAGATGGTCTTGGCTCCAAAGGTGGCCAGCTACTGCAGACCCAATCCCAAGTGTACAGGCCAAGAAAGAAGAGCAATGCCCCTCAGAGGGGCCCCTGGGTGGAGCAGATGGTTGGGCAGGGAGGTGAATGACAAGAGAAGTGAGTGGAGCCCCCACTTGGGGGTGCGGGTTCTCAAAGGGATGTGACATGGAGAAGGAATCTGTGAGACTTCAAAGCCTCCGGGGTGAATGGGGGGGGGACAGGGGGCATTAGGTCCAGGCGCACCAGAACCTCAAGTTCCATCTCTGTCCAATCTTCATGAGCTGCTCTCCTTTGAGATGGGAGAGATGTTCAAGAGCAGGAGGGCAGCTGGCTCCCGAGCAGGGGGCAACCCGAGGCAGCTGGGGTGTGGGGAGAGTCAGACAAGGCAGCTGAAAGAGCCAGGGACTGCTGAGACCAGGGCAAAGATGAGAGAAATCCATGCCATCCTGGGCAAACCACTGCCTTTGCGTGGGCCTCAGTTTGCTCAACTGTGAAATGGAAAGATTGGCTAGAAAACACCACAGGTCCCTTACCAGTATGGAACTCTGCCAGTTCAGAAAATGACTCGTGATCCAAGAGCTGCCCTGAGAATTAATTATTCAAGTTATCAAAAGCATCCAGCAGCCTCAGAACTCCACCCTAGAATTGAGCAATCTAATCCACCACTCACTTCCTCCACTCTCTTAACCACCACCACCCTGTCAGTCAGGCACATCTGCCCTCCTGGATGTGTCCTACAGGTGAAAGGCCCAGACTCCTGGTAAGTCTTGGAACACCCACCCTTCTCACCTTCCAGAATTCTCTGTTCTCTGTCCCCCTTGACACCCAGCCTCCATTGATCCCAGACATCTCTCCTGGCCCTGGGGTGGGCTTCATTCCTCTTAAGGCCTCCCTATCCCCAAAGGGAGAGCTCCTGCCCCTCTTCCTTACACCTCTCTCTGATAACCACTTAGGGCAACTCTCTGGCCAGCCCCTTCCCTTCCTGACTCAGCCAGTTCTCCTGCTTTGGCTCGGATGGGGTCCGAGGAAAGGCCAGACATTGTCTAGTCCCTCCTGCTCTACATTAAATGCAAATATGTGTGGATTATATTCATAGAAAGAATGCTAGAATTGTATTAAAATGACTGAATTTTCCATTGTTATTGAAAAGATTGCCTTCAATGTTCGGGATCTTGTAAATGTCTCCGTTGTATAGCATTTTCATAAAATAAATTAGAATCATCCATGGCATTTCTGAATGGCCGTGAGTCATTAAGGGTCTGGCCATTTCACTCAATGAGGGAATCTCCTGCTTGTTCACCGAGAACATGACCAGGGGGTCAGTAGGAATCAGCCAGTTCAAGGGTGTTTGGCTAATCATTTCTGCAAGGGCTGTCTCTTGCATTCTGGGCCTACAGAATAGGTAAGAAAGCAACACACAAAATATCAAACAATAGGAGTAAACTGTATACAGTCTGACTTCATGAGATCTCAAAAACTTAGCTGACAAATATATTTTAAATATGCTTAGTATATGAGGTATGATTTTTTTTTTTTTTTTTCAAATGAAGCAGGTCAGTAGACTGAAAGTAGCACATGGAGCCATGCACACCTACATGGAATCCCGGTTGCAGCATTTGTAGGTTCTGTGACCATGGGCTGGTGTCTGAGCCCCTCTGTGCCTGTCTTCTCACCTGCACAAAGCAGACCCTTCCCTTAGTTTCTCCCTTTCACTGTCAACGCATCCTTCCTAGAGATTGGTAAACTGAAAAACCCACAAGCATCCACAAAGCATTATCCCCTCCAGTGACTGGAGGTCACTGCCCTGGCCTGCTTCTCTTGCCCGAGTTCTCCATCTCCCGTCCTGACTTGCAGGGTCTCCCTCTGGACCCTTAAGCTTATCCCTCATGCCTGGGAGTGGGAGCTCCCCGTGTAACCCCAGCCCATCTCCCGCACAGCTGAGCACTGGATATTCCAGAATGAGGACTTATCAGTGAAGTATGCTTGGCTGCAGCTATCCCCTGATAAGGCAGTTTCTGCCACCACCCCAGCCCTGCCTTCTCACACTGTAAAAGTCACCCATTTCCAGTGTACAACTAGTGGTTCTTAGTACATGCACAAAGTTATACAATCCTCACCACTGTCTAACTCCTGAACACTTTCATCAGCCTGAAAAGAAACCCCTCCAGGGCCTGGCGACCCCTGATCTACTTTCTGTCTCTACTGATTTGCCTATTCTGGACATTTCACCTACATGGACTCCTACAGTATGAAGCCTTTTATGTCTGGCTTTTTTTTTTTTTTTTTTTTGCCTGGAATAATGTTTTCAAGCTTCACCCACGTTATAGCATATATCGGTACTTCATTCCTGTTGTTGGTTGAATAATAGTCCATTGTATGTGTATGCTTCCATTAGTTTCTCCACTTATCGGGTTGAGGCACATTTGGATTGTTTCCACTTTGGGGCTATTACACTGTTGTGAACATTTGTGTACAAGTTTTTGTGTGGACATAGCTCTCCAATTCTCTTGGGTACATATCTAGAAGTGAAATTGCTGGGTCATTGGTAACTATGTTTAACGTTTTGAACAACTGCCAAACTGTTCTCCAAAGTAGCTTCACCATTGATACATTCCCACAAGCAATGTACAAGGGGTCCAATTCTCCACATCCTTGTCAATCGCATTACTGTCCCTCTTGTTTTATGATGATGATCCTACTGAGTATTGAGGTAATTCTGGAGACTTGTTACTTGATGTTTTTCTCTTTAATGCTGGTTCCATTTTGAGGTGGGTTACTGACTTGCATATGGTCCCAGGATGGTCATACCTTGTTATAAAGAAATGGCACAATGGTGATAGATCTGGTGGTTCACAAGGAACTCATTTGGGAGCTGGTTTACTTTAATTTACTTCCTCTTTGAAAACTGGGTAAATATTTCAGAGTGACTGCAGCTTCCCCCAGAAGCAGACTTTGGGCTATCCCCATAACAAGGGCAGAGCCAACAGAAGCGGGCTTACCTGGACGTAGTCTGGGGGTGTTGGGGAGTCAGGGATGGATGAAGGCACTCACTGGCAGGACACAAAGTGTCCCCACCAGAATTGAAAAGCCACCAAAACAAGGATAGTGTGTCTCCACCTGTCTCCACCTGTCTCCTCTGCTTCCTGCTGCCTCTCCTTGGGCTGGGAGCACCCTGTTTTTCTCTGCTCACCTCCACATGGCAGAACATGGCTGCTCGGAGCTCCCAAGACAGTCCGTTACATTTCCACCTGCTTGGAGAATCAGTCAGCCACCCACTTAGGATTTTTAATATATTTTTTTCAAACTGCACAAATACTCCCACAGCAGGTCTTTTGCATCCTGAAAGAAAAACGCTGGGCTGTAAATAAGCTTTCTTCTAGCTCCAATATCCTTCAGCTGTATGCTGTTACCGCTAAATCTATTTTTCCACACACTTCTTTTAAAGACTTTCAGAAAGTGGGACAAAGGGGTTCCTCCCTCAGCTTTCTAGTCAAACCTCCATCTTTTTCTAGCAGTCAAACCCAACTGGATTGCCTGCTTAATCCCCCACATCAAGAACCGAATGGCACCTCATATTTCTGACATTAAATTCAGCCTCAATAGCCAGAGATGCTCACCACTGAAGAATTCAAGACATGTTCTGTAGGGATTGTTTGCAGGGAAGTTTCAACAATGTTTTGGGTGATGGTGATGTCATGGAAAATGCTCAGAACCTCTCTGGTTTTGAGGGAACTATACGCTTTGTGCAATGTGCCATTTATCACTAAATGTGGCTCATAACCTAGAGCCACGACTATGTCCTAATGTGAAAGTTGCTTCCGTGTAATATACAAGCCAAGGCAAAGAATCCCATCCCAGGTTCATGGGCAAATAGGCTAGAATCGGGGGAGAGATTATTGTGCAGTAACTCTCATCTCTCTTCTCTAGGCTAGGATTTAAGTTTGCCTCCAATATGGAAGACACTGACTGGGAGACTTATGACTTGGAAGATTTCTTCAGTGAAAATTACAGTTACAGCACAGAACTGCCCTTTATTCCAGCAGACTCTGCCCCATGCAGGCCAGAATCCCTGGAAATCAACAAGTATGCAGTGGTGGTCATCTATGCCCTGATCTTCATGCTGAATCTGCTGGGAAACTCCCTAGTGATAGTGGTTGTCTTATATAGTCGGATCAGCCAGTCTGTCACTGACGTCTACCTGCTGAACCTGGCCATAGCCGACCTGCTCTTCGCCCTGACCTTGCCTCTCTGGGCTGCCTCCAAGGCAAAGGGCTGGATCTTTGGCACACCCCTGTGCAAGGTGGTCTCGCTCCTGAAGGAAGTCAACTTCTACAGTGGTATTTTACTACTGGCCTGCATCAGCGTGGACCGCTACCTGGCCATTGTCCATGCCACACGCACGCTGACCCAGAAGCGGCACTGGGTCAAGTTCATATGCTTAGGCATCTGGGCCCTGTCCCTGATCCTGTCCCTACCCATCTTCATCTTCCGCAGGGCCATCAATCCCCCCTACTCCAGCCCAGTCTGCTACGAGGACATGGGTGCCAATACGACAAAACTGCGGATAGTGATGCGGGCCCTGCCCCAGACCTTTGGCTTCCTCCTGCCGCTCGTGGTCATGCTGTTCTGCTATGGGCTCACCCTGCGCACCCTGTTTGAGGCCCACATGGGGCAGAAGCACCGGGCCATGCGGGTCATCTTCGCTGTCGTGCTTGTCTTCCTGCTCTGTTGGCTGCCCTACAACCTGGTCCTGGTCGCAGACACCCTCATGAGGCTCCGGGTGATCAAGGAGACTTGTGAGCGCCGCAATGACATTGGCCGGGCCCTGGATGCCACCGAGATTCTGGGCTTCCTCCACAGCTGCCTCAATCCCTTCATCTACGCCTTCATTGGCCAGAAGTTTCGCCATGGACTCCTCAAGATCATGGCCTTCCATGGGCTCATCAGCAAGGAGTACTTGTCCAAGGACGGCAGGCCTTCCTTTGTGGGCTCTTCTTCAGCAAACACTTCTACTACCTTCTAAGCGCCCCCGGCCCTGTTGCAGCCCCTCGGGGCTCCTCCCTCACCATCAGCATCGCGTTCCGAGCCTCATGTCCACTGGCTGTTCACAGTCTCTGTGTCAAGGCAGCCCCCGGGTGTGGTTACAGGAAGTTACTGGGGCCACGTCCTTTTCAGGCCCTTTGTACAGTTTAGAAAGCCTGCCCTGGTTCCCCAGCCCTGACTATACTTACTCTGTCAGCTGCTAGAGCTCAGTCCATCCTACCACTGAGCCCACAGCACTCTGTTCTCTGAGGCAGTTAAAGACACTTCAAAGGCATTCCTTCAAGTGACTACAGAAAGTTCCTACCATGGGGAGGCATCAGTGGTGAACGGCATTAGCTGCTGCCCCGACTGTCCCTTTCTTGCTTGCCAGCAAAGCCCACCTCCCTTGAGAGAGGCTGAGAAGGACAGATACTCACTTTCGAAGACTCCCTTGGCTAGGAGTGGCCCTGCCATTCACTTTGGACTAATTAGATTTCAGGGCAATGGTGTGCTGGTAAACCACTCTCCTGGGGGAAAGAAGTCCTGATTTGTAGCATTTACCGAGTTGCCTGGTGTAAATGCTCCCGCCATGGCGATTTCAAGGGTTTTCAAGTAATGTAATGAGCCGCTTTCACAAGCAGGTACAAACTGGCCCTAGTGCACCATTGCTTAAGAGGAAGTCTGCTGGGTCCAGGGACTCCTGGGAAGTAGTCCTGATTGAAAAAAGAGAGAAAGACACACACACACCCTTGGTTCTCACCTTTGAATATGGCTGTAGGATATGATGTGACAAAGAGGCAAAAAGTGTGCTCAACACACTTAGGCAGATGGAGCAGATGAGAATAAAGAGCCCAGAAAGAAGCCTAAGTGTAAATGGTCAATGATTTTCAACAAGGGGCACCAAGACTATTCAATGGGAAAAGGATAGTCGTTCAACAAATGGTGCGGGCAAACCAGATATCCACACGCACAGGAATGAACTTGGTCCCTTTCCTTACACTATATGCAAAAGTTGACTCAAAATGGGTCAAAGACCTAATGATAAAAGCTGACACTATAAGGAAAAGTTTCATTTGGTTTGAGGTTGGGGATGGAGAGAAGTTCAGAGATGAGGTTTAGATCAAGGTTAAGAGTGGAACCAGGGATGAGGTTGGAGTTAGAGGTGATGTGGTGGGGAGCCAGAGATGGGGTGGCAGGTTAGGACAAGGTGGAAGGTCAGAAAAGGATGAGTATCAGGAACAGGGGGAGATCCAGAATAGGGAGAAGCTGGGGCTGGGGTTAGTGAGATTCAGGGAGGTTCAGTGGGGTTGTGACCAGGTATGGGGTGAAGTGTAGGAATGGGATGAGTGTGCGAGTGTGGTGAGTCTCAGGGAGAGATGTCAGAACTGGAGTGAATGTCAGGGGCTACTATTGTAGTCTAGTTAGTGGCTGGAGCAAAAAGACATCACTGGTAGATTCACCATTTTCTGGGGAGCATTGTCTAAAATGCTTTTCTGGGGGCCAGGATGGAGGTACCTTGGCTGTCCAGCTGAGGGTCTCCAGGTGGGTTGATGAGAAAGGAGTTAGGGCTCAAGCCCTAAGAGATAGATCTGATTCAGGAGAGAAGCCAGAAGAATGCTGAAGAAATCCAGGGAGGAAGACTGGCAACAGGGTCTGGGAATCTCCCCTTCCTCTCCCTCCCTCCTTCTCCTAATGGCCTTCCACCTCTCAACTGCATGCTTAAATGTCCATTTCCTCCATCCTCTGATGTCCCAAAGACAACTCTGTTAGGGGCTTCAGTAAGTAAATATGGATCCATATTGGGTCTGGGGAAACACAAATGACAAATATGTATCTGAAAAGATGCTTGGCCTCGCTAGTAACCTGGGAAGTGGGAATCAAACAGCAATAAAATAACTTGGAAGTATTTTAAATAGGGAAGGTTATATAGTTGACTCTCAAACAACATGGGTTTGAATTGTGTGGGTCCACTGATAATGTGGATTTCAAAAATAAATACAGTACTGTAAATCTCTTTTCATCATGATTTTTAAAAATTTTAAATACAATCTACTCCCCCAACATGGGGCTTGAGCTCATGACCCCAAGACCAAGAGTCCCATGCCCCACTGACTGAGTGAGCCAAGTGCCCTCTCATGATTTTCTCAATAACATTTTCTCCAGCTTACTCTATTATAAGAATATAGTATATAGAACATACAAAATATGTGTTAATCTACTATGCATGTTATTGGCAAGGATTCTGGTCAACAGGAAGCTGTTAGCAGTTAAGTTTTTGGGGAGTCAAGAGTTTACATACAGATTTGCCATGGCATGGTGGGGTCCATGTCCCGCACCCCTCTGTTGTTTAAGGGCCAACTGTAGTCAGAACTCCCTTTGAACAAGGGCAACATTGTTCCATTAGATTTTCAATGCAATGTGTAATTCTCTGGGTAGAGCTCAACACAGAAATGATTTGGGTTTCAGATCTGTAACAATGCCAGGATGTGGGTACTGAAATAACAGGGCATCCTGAAATATCAAAAACAAGTGTTTCAACCACTAGATAGGGCAAGGTCAAGGAGATGTTTCACCTCAGGGAGGGGATCAGTGTCCAGGGTGAGGCTGGGATCAGGGATGGAGTGCATCTTGGGGGGGGACTGGAGTGTCAGAGACGGTAGTAAGCCAGGGATGGGACTAGGTTAGGGATGTGGGGAACATCAAGGATAGAGTGGAGGATAAGGATTGGGATGTGAATGTATGTTCTGTTCAATGCTTGCTGCTTGTAAGTTTTGAAAATTTGATTTGGGGGCACCTGGCTGGCTTACTGGAAAGAGCATGCGACTCTTGATCTCAGGGTGGTGGATGTGAGGGAGATCTGGCTGCGACATCTGTCACCCCATTGATCGCCAGGGTTGATTCGGCTGATCTGGCTGGCTAGGCAGGTGTCCCCTTCCTCCCTCACCGCTCCATGTGCGTCCCTCCCGAAGCTGCGCGCTCGGTCGAAGAGGACGACCTTCCCCGATAGAGGAGGACCGTTCTTCGGTCAAGGGTATACGAGTAGCTGCGCTCCCCTGCTAGAACCTCCAAACAAGCTCTCTCAAGATCTCAGGGTGGTGAGTTTGAGACCCACCTTGGGTGTAGAGATTACTAAAAATAAATGAATGAATGATGAGTGAATGAACTTAAAAAAAATAAAGTATATAATGTTTTAAAAAAAAGAAAGTTTGTTTTGTGGGCTAGGTTAACATTTTCCAGCCTCCATGTAATTATGTTGAAATATACTACTTTCCCCTACACTAGTTATCCATCTGACCAACCGTGGCCTCCTCACCATCCCTTGCCCCCAGTCCAGTGGCCCGTTCTTACTAGTTTCAGCAAGAACATTAATTGAGAGTCCAGGTTTTATCTATAGGGGTTTAAGATGGTCCCTTTCCCCGCAACCTGCATTTGAACTAGGGACTTTCAGAGGAAATAAAATGATGCAGACGAAATAAAATGACCACCTCCTCTTTGGTCCAAGGGTCTTTCCCGAGATGTGTCTTCTCTGAGATGACCACTAACTGAGAAATCATGATGGACTACAGCCTTTTGCTGTTTCCACGCAGAGGTTGGGGCGGCCAAAGATCTCTGGGTTTGGCCCTTCTAGAAAGCCACAAATGGCTAACAGCTATGTTCTCACCACAGTTGCTTTTATGTAACCTGGGACTCTGCTTTTAAACTCAAGATTCTTTTTCCAACCTTGAGGGTAAACATGAATTTAAGAATTAAAAATATATAAAATAAACAGAATATGTTTTAGATTTTCTAAAATTAGTTTTTTTAATCAAAATATTTCATGTACATTGTTAAAAAAAAAAAGTGAAATAGCTTTATAAAGCTTATAATGAACATCAGCAGCAGCCCTTCTGCCATACTCCCTGCGGGAGAAGGAAACAACTTTCAACTCTCATAGCTGTTTCATTTAATAGTGTGTACACATTTCTAAATATCATGCTTATTCAGCTGGCTCTTGATTTTTTTCCCCCAGATTTAGATATCATTTATTGACTTTCTCCTTTGGCTTCTGTGGCTTTAACATTTTTTCAAACTCTCTCAAGCATTTACCCTATCCAAGCAAACACAAATACCATCCCTCCCTTTCTCCCAGGACAGATAATCACACTTTTTGGTTAAATCAACATTCAATGTTTTTGTTATAATGACTAGTTGGACACAATGTTTACATTTCCTTTCTTTGTACAAGTTCTGTCTTCCCTGGAATTAATAATAGGATTTTCATCGTTACTTCTTATTACATCATTTTCAAATGTCTCCCTCAATACATTCACATTCATCAGATAACCTATATATATATTTTTCTTTCTTGGAGACCTCCCTCCTGGAGCCCTTCCTAGTCCTGTTTTCAATCCGGACAGGTTACTTTTCAGGCCTGTGCTGTTTAAATTTTTTTCCTAAATTGCTTTAACTACCTTACCAGATTAATTTTAGAATCTGATAGCCAATTTCTATAAGATTACCCTACTGGGATTTTAATTTGGATTATGTTGAATCTGCAGATCAGTTTGGAGAAAGTTGACATCTGAAAAATATTGAGTTTTCTAATCCATAACATGGTACTTTCTCCAATTTTTCACATCTTGTCTAATTTATGTAGGTAATGTTTTGTAGTTTTCAGTACATAGATCTTGTACATGTTTTGTTAAATTTATCCCTAAGTATTTTGTGGTTATTTGGATACTATTATAAATGCTATTTAATTTTTTTCCAGGTTTTTTTCTTACCAGTACATATAAATATAATTGAGTTCTATATATTGACCTTGTATTCTGGGAGCTCAAGAAATTCTCTTATTAGATCTAGTGGTTTTATTTATTTTTATTTTTTATTTTTTAAAAATATTTATTTATTTGACAGAGAGAGAGAGAGAGAGAGGGAACACAAGCAGGGGGAGTGGGAGAGGGAGAAGCAGGCTTCCCGCTGTGCAGGGGGCCCGATGTGGGACTCGATCCCAGGACCCTGGGATCATGACCTGAGTCAAAGGCAGACGCTTAACGACTGAGCCACCCAGGCACCCCAAATGGTTTTATTTTTAAAGATCCTTTTGGGTTTTATATGTACATAATCATGTCATCTGAGAATAAACAGTTTTATTTCTTCCTTTTTAAAATGTCTTTTATTTATTTTTCTTGCCTTAATTCATTAGCTAGGACCTCCAGTACAATGCTGAATTGAAGTTGTGAAAGTGGACATCCTTGCCCTGTTCCCAGCCTTAGGAGTTAAGCATTCAGTCTTTCTCTATTAAATATGATGTTAGCTGAAGATTTTTCATAGCAGACCTTTACCAGGTTGAGGAAGTTCCTTTCATGAATGGGTGTTAAATCTTCCTCTTTCTTTAAGTGCTTACAGGCTTTGTGACCAAGGGCAGATTACTTAGCTTCCCTCTACTACCTTATAAAATGTGGATAATAACAATGTTCAGCTATTTCCTATGGAGATTAAATTAAATGAGCACACATACACACCTATGATATTTAGAGGAATGCCTAGCATACAATAGGTACTATATAAATGTCATCAATAATAAGCATTATTTTGGTTTATCCCTTATTTTGCTGGATTACTAGATTTTGCTAAGGAAGGATATATGGGAAATAACTTTTTGGAGACCTTGAATTTCCAAAAAATGCTTTTTTTTTTTTTTAAAGATTTTATTTATTTATTTGGGATAGAGAGAGAGAGCAAGAGAAAGTGAGCATGAGTTGGAGGGGAGGGCAGAGGGAGACAGAGAAGCAGACTCCCCGCTGAGCAGGGAGCTGGACATGGGGCTTGACCCCAGGACCCTGAGATCATGACCTGAGCTGAAGGCATACGGTTAACCG